AAATTTTAAAGGGAAAAATACAAGACATAAATTGATTTTCTACCTAATGATATATTTGATTGAATAATCAAATATTTGATTAACAAGAGAATATTTGTCTTGTTGTGTTGGTTGGGGACATTACATTAATCCTAATTTGTTTTGTCCCTAAGCTATTTCCTAGAAATTCATTTAAGTTGTTTATTATAAAATAAAATACCATCCCTCCCCTTTTTTGCTGAAGACATTCGGCCATCACAAGGAAGAGAGAAGAAAAATATTATTTTTGTGTTCCAAGTTATTTTTCTAAAGTGTTAGAAATATACACAAAATATTATAAAGAAATATTTATAAGATAAATTTTTTTACTATATATTTATTACTCCCAAGGTAGTATTATTATAGTTTTACTATCCTATATTAAACTTGCTAGCACAAGTTTAATCTAGGACTCCGGAGCAAGTTCGTGTGGATACGTTGGAGGCTTCATACGTTTGGCGCTACGTTCATCTCCTCAAAACCATCCCCGACTATTTCTCCGTTCTCCGTTTTTCACCGCTAAAGGTAAATTTCTTACTATAGCTAGTAATTTACGTAAGTTGTTCTTGGGTGGAATCGAGTTTTGAACTCTAAATTTTGTTTTTCGCTGCGTTATCCAAGCCTCGTTTCCCAACACATTTATCCTATGCATCTCCATTCATTCATTTCCATACCTCGTTTCCCAACACTTTCATCCTCAGCTACATTTGATATTTGTAGCTAGATTGTTGACGACAAGGGGGTCATAATTGGCTTTGTTTGGACAGTTTTAGAGAAGAGCATTTGTGTCTTTTTTTCTTACTTTAACGTTGGCCTTGGTATTTGTTACAAAATGATCATGGACGAAACACCGGGACGGAGGGAGTATATGTTACACCAATTATTTTTTCTTGTGACTTCCAATTAGGGTTTCTCTCCTAAATCAGCTTCATTCCTCAATGATGATCAGTGTTATTAATGACGCAAATGGCGCGAGACAGATCTGCGCCATTGACGTTTTGCCTATCAAATGGCGGTCTACCTACCTATGGCAACACCATTTGTGCGCCATTGCCATGCCATCGCCATTCTTGCGCCATTTTTTTTATGTTTTGCCCGATCCAAATCCAATAAGGCCCAATCAAACTAGGGTTTGCAATTCATATGGCGAGAAAGATTGGGAATATAGAAAATCTGGATCTGCAGTTGGGATCGCGATCAACGGATAATCGGGAAAAGAAATACCCAGCTCTTCTCTTTTGACGGAAGCCTTCTATAGTTCTATGCCACTGCTCTTTTTTTTGAGTGCCGCTACTTCTACTTTTAATTCGAAGCTCAATAGCTTCTAATTTCTCTTTCGGCCTCCAAGTTTTATTGGACTCAACTTGCTTTTAATTTTTTTGCCATATTTTTTTCTTCTTCTCAGATTTACTGGATACATATTTTACTATTTTTTCATTGAATTAAGTTGTGTTTGTAGATCCCTTCAAAGAACAATATGTTTGTAGATCAAAATGTTTCAGATATTTAGGAATCAAGTTTTAAATATTCTGTGACAAAAAAAGCTTACATTTTCTCTAATCAAAACATTTGTGTTCTATTAATTTTTGTGTGTTATATTAATGGTTTCATATATATATATATATATATATATATATATC